AACCTAATTGCACAAAAGTTTCAAAGTATATGAACACTGTTAGACAGAGCTTACTACGGTTTCCTTGTCATTTCTCTGACACTTCCTTCAAACTGCTGAATAGCCGAGGTGAAAAGGGATGTGCTTGGTGGGGTAAATCAGGCATGTTGTCCATTACCAAGAAAACTTTACCAAAGTATGGCAAATACTGCCTTGTTGTCAAGCAGTATGGTGTATTTGTCTGGCTTTCGTTTGCATTTCAGAATTCTTTTTGGAAAATAATGAAAACTTGAAAAACTTACACCTTCATTGGTATACTTTTTTCCTACTTTTTTACATTCCTATTTCCATTATTAATTCTCTTTAAAACTACTTTTTAAAAATGAATACTCTAAATTGTATTTGTCTATTCAAAGAAGTGTTCCAAAACTACGTCACTACATTGGTATTATTTTTGGGTGACTCCTGCTTGTTGTCATTAGTCTTTTCAGGCTATAGTTAATATGTTGATTAAAAAATATAACCCAGTCATTACTGATTAGTGGATGTATTTTAGAGACTGACAGTCCCCAGAGGGCCAGATGCTGTGGCTTGTTAATACTGATTCTAATTAATGTAGGGAATACACTGCATTTTTCGTCATACTTTAAGTGTATGGAACTCTTAAGTAGAAAATACCTCACTTTTGAAGATGAGGGGAGTTATGATAAAAGCAATAAATACAGTTTTGCAGAAGAATTTGGCAAGTGCTCTTTAAGTGATAACTTTCAACACTTGTAGATTACTTGCTATTTTCAAATAGGTACCCAGTCTCCGGACAGGGAATTGTACTGCAGTGTTTCTGCAAGTTTGAATGTGGCAAGGCTTTATGGTTCTGATTGTCACAGTTGTCTGGCCCAAGAAGTTTAGTACTGTCGCTGTGGCAGAAAAAATAAAAGGTTTTGAAGGGCAGTCAGATGGATTTTACAGCATGGCAAAATACTGTTACAAAGTCTTGCTTGTTTGAAGCATTTTGCAGTTTATACCTAACTGCACACACATCCTTGATTATATAAAGCTCTGCAAAAGAGAAAACTGCAATACTGAAGACTTCTGCTCTCTCTAAATGTTTGTACATTTAGAGTTTGTACAACTGTTTTATCTGTGAACATGTTTGTACAACTGCTTTATCTGTAAACATGACAGCAAGAGCTAGTGTTGTGCCCATGACTGTGTCAGATCAAACATGTATGTATTGATAGGTCCAAGGGTTGTACTGAGTTAAATCTGAAAACTGGCAGCTTGCACTTTATACCATAAATCAGTTGTAGTATTTGAACATGAGAGGAGAAAAAGAAAAAAAAAATGTTCCCTGGAAATCCAGGTTTCAAGAAAGTCTAAACTCATCTATATACTGAAAGCATTGTGATACATCTGGAGACTGACAGTGCAGCTGTGCTGTCAGACTTAGTGGTCCACCCAGACTTTACAGGTAAACTCCAACTTTAAGATCAGAAGGTACGGGCAACTAGACTGTGGCCATATTCAGGAGGAATGTGTACAGTAACTTATGTGTAGATAGAAAAAAATTGGAAGTAGCTGGAGGAGGAGGAGGAGCTGTGACAAACAGTTTAGAAACACAAGTGATGAGATTATTGCTAATAAAACTTCCACTCTAGTTGTTAAGTTCAGATTCCAGCTTCTTGTTACATTGAACTCAGTATTTTTGAGACCTGGTCTCAGGGAAACCGTAGGAGAATAGGATGTAAAGCATTGTATCATAGTTTTGGCATCACTTCCACTGAAATACTACTTCTGTACTACTCACATAACAGTGTTGAATGTATTCATCTTTTCCCTGGATATGTTTAGATTAGATAAACAGTAATAATTATGTCAGTCCTTTTCCAAGTTAACAAGTTAATAGAAGCATCTAAACTGCTAGTGATTAGTGGTATTAAAACTGGTAAAAAGAAAACTGGAATTTGGGTGTTCTGTGGATGTATAACCAAAGTAATTTAATAAAAAGTCCTGCATTGTTGCTAGACTTTAAGAATGAAGAAAATTGCCATGACACTATCTTACTACCAATTTCTATTCTCAGACCAATTTGTCAAGCACATCCTTCTTCTGTTTCTTGATTTGAGTAAGTCTTGGGTTTTTTAATCTCCTCCCCCCCAGTACATCCCAATATGACAACCATTTCTTTTAACTTTTCTTCAAAGATATCATGCACAAATCCCTTTTCAAAAAACAAACAAAAGAAAGCCAAAATCAACTCTTTTGCAACTTTCACAATTCCCATATTTTATTTTTAAATTTTATTCCCATGTTTTATTTTTAAATTCTCAGATTTCATGTTGATGATATTGCTAACCCTTCTAAGAGAAGGCTCATGGACTCCTAGAGAGATATGTTAAGGTTTTGTGGTTGTGGTTTGTTGGGGATTTTTTTTTTTTTTTTTACTTTAGAGGTGGGGAAAATCACAGAGGAATGATTAAGAATCTGAAGGGATAAGTGTGCAAATATAAAGGACATTAGGCTTCCCATTTCCAACAAAACTTCAGGAACATTCTATTTTTTTAAATAACTTCCTTTTGTGCATTGGGTCAGTGATTTGTGTTACAGGGGAGCTGTTGGCAGTAGAAATAGCTCTGGGCAAATGTGATTACCTGCCAGCAACAAAGGAGGCTGGGAATGCTGTTAGGAAATACAGCTCTGTAACTGTAGCTGCACTAAGTGCTAATTGGCATTCCTTATGCATTGGTATGTCCTGTGTAAATACTGCTCGATCAGGTGAGCAGCTATCAAGTCTGCTTTTAATGGTGAATTTAAACACAACTTCAAATTCCAGAGTTCAGTGAACACAGAAGAAAATGGTAGGAAATACAGCTTTTCTTCTTTCACTAAGGCAGATATTTGAAAGAATTCTTGTCTCAGTCAAGTATTCCATCTTAGATTATATGTGTGATTTCAAGATCACTAATTCTGATTTATTTCAGCTAACTTCTGAAAGGTGCAAACAGTGTCACTTTGTACATCTGTGAAATGCCTTTCTCACTTGTTCCTGCAAAGCTGAGGCTTGTATTAGAATGATGTCATAAAAGGAAGTTGAGCTCTCTAGCAAAGTGAGTTTGAAGTGATGTAGGTTATCGTTACTAAGAGTGCTGGGAGCAGTGAAGAATGAATTCATGAACAAACAAACAAATCTGTGCATACCTTGTATTTTGAGGGGAATAATTTAGAAAAGCTTACAACCTTTGCTACTTACCCTTGAGGTCAGTGGTGAGGGCAAGTTCCAACCCTCTAAGCTATGTACAAACAGTGTGCATGTTATTACTTGTGGCTAATGGAATGGTTGTGGATTTAAGAAAACAGACCTATGGAAAAATTTTTGGATATGAGTGTTTAAAATAGAGAATGGAAAAATACAGTTAAAAAATGAGTTTCTGGTAAATCTTGATAACATTCGAGTATAATTCAGTGCAAGAATATAAGAAAAACAAGATTTATCAGCATGTTTTGTATTTTTCTTACTTCTTCCTAAACATAGAATTTAGATGGCACAAAAGGAAGCTTGATTAAGACTTTCAGTTTTAAAACTTGGTTATTGTTAGTGCAGTCCTGCTATGCTATGACAAGGACAGCCCTATTCATGTCTACATGGAAAAGGCATATAAATGAATTAAAGATATGAACATAAATGCTTTAAACCACACAACAATTCATATGATTATGATTCTTAAAATGCATTGTGCTCTGTAGCGTATGCATACAACTAATACATTATAGGTAGTTACTGATGATGATGTTCCTTTAAGTAATTGTAAAAGACAGAAATAGACAATAGTCACTTGTTGGTACTAGAAATCTCAGTCAGTTCTAATATTTTGGGGGGAAAAAAAAGATTTTCAGTGGAAACCACAGCTTCTAGAATCTCTTTGTTTATTGTGAAGTATTTTGTGAAATTATTCATTTTTTTAGGACTGGTCGTACACTTAGTCAACAAGTGGATATGTTGAGATGGAAAATAGTTTTCCACTGGGAAATTAGGGACAAAAGATGATCAAATAATTGAAAATTGCTGTTGATAACTTGTTTAGTTTAAGCCATTGCTTTGCCTAAAATACAAGTCAAGTCAAAGTGTTTTTTATTTTAACTTGGTATAAATAGAGCAGTTGTGTTGTAATAGTCAGATTGAGTATAGAGAAGGCAATTAGTAAGTCTCAATCCAATCTGAACACCTTTTTCTTGATGTGTACATGATATAAAAATATCCCTGTATTCCTCTGGTACAGTAGTAGATAGAATACATGCCTTTTATTGGGAAACTCTGGAGTTTTTCGTGTCTGCCATTTCTCCATTGCATAGTGCATGCTATATGAATATAATTGCTTGCGTAGGCCTGGGTACTTTGATTTTTCAGTCTTTTGTCTGGTTCTGTGGATCTGCTCTATGTCAAGTGTGGCATTTACATTTTTGTTACCAGTGCTTGAATAGCAGCATGAGAAATACTTTTGTAAACCATCAGTAATAATCTGAATAAAATATATAGTAAAAATAGCATTAAAGACTGTTTTCTTTACAAGAGAAAGTGGAATAGTTTAACTTAGTAGAGAAAAATAAGTGATAGGATGTGTCTTATTTTTGATACTGTAAGAGGCAATTCTCTTCCAAAGACAGAAATACCATGAAATATCATTATTCTTGGTGTGCGTTTGAGCTCTCATTGGGACTTGCAGTAGGTTTGTCATTTGCATGTTGACGTGTATGTATCCTTTTAAGGGTGTAGAGTTACATATTGCAAATTATCAGAATTGCTGGTGACATGTTACTGCACCTGACAACTTTCAAAAGTACACAAGGAATTCTGTATCTTCTTTGCCTTTCTCATCTTGCTAGTCTCTGCACAGGTCAAAGGATGTATATTTACAGTAATAAGTGTTACTATTGCTAAGTATATATGAGGTTAGCATTTTTGAAAGAATGTTTTATCAATAATTTAACAAAAGTTTCTTATGGAAATATGTTGTTTTTTTAAGGTGAGGTTGCAGTGCAAACTGGAGATCTGTTGCCATGTAAGATTTGTGGAAGGACTTTCTTTCCAGCAGCACTGGTAAGTTCATAACAGTATGAGCACTGTTGGCTCTTAGATTTGGTAAGTTGATATGAGAATTAAACAGTGGTCACTATAGCTGAATAAAGTAGATCAAAGTGCTTTGTTTTGGTGGGGGTTTTGTGGGGTTTTTTCCCCCAAATAATTAATGATTTCAGTTGTCTCCGTTTGGAAGCTCCTTAAAGGGAGGTTAATTTTATTTTAAGATCCCATCACTTTCTGAATATATGCTTCTAAAAGCATCCTTTGACTAAAAAAGTCAAATCCTTGTCTCTGCAGCTTTATATCCTAGCTTATAGTCTCAGATAGTAAATGAAGTGTTTTGTCTTCAAAATACTCTGTTCTCCATTTTTAGCAGAAATTGATCTGTCTTTAAATGTGAACATGAATTTCAGGCACCTCTGATTTGTCTTGCCACTCAAGGCAAATGCTGCCTGCCTATCATCAATTTTTTATGTGCAAGGAGCAAATATAGATGCCTCCTGCTTTTTTTCATCATCACCCATGTTTTTGTGACCATTTATTTCCTATGGTTCTGTTTTAAAGGTAATAGCTGACATGAATGTTTGAGTTAAAACAGTCAGAGCTTATTCATCAATAGTTTGTCCTTTTTTTGCTGATTATTATATCAAGAGAGACAGAGAAATAATGTGTTAGTAACTTCTATTTTCAAAACTAAGTTGTGTGTTCTCCTTTTATTTTGGTACTGCTTGTAGAAAAAGCATGGACCCATTTGCCAAAAAACTTCTGCCAAGAAAAGGAAGACATTCGATTCCAGCCGACAAAGAGCAGAAGGAACTGACATTCCCACAGTAAAACCTCTTAAGCCACGAGTATGTTATAATTTACTCTGAATATGAATATTTTAGACAAACTGTGTAGGCATTATAAGGCTTATTTCTGCTGGCAGTTCTTGATAATCAGATCAACTAGGATCTGTAAGAAATCTAACTATAATGTTGTCTACTGAAATAAGGCACATACTTAGGTTGAAGTAAAAACTTCAAACATATAAAGCTTTCTTTTTTGCTTCTTAGCCAGAACCACCCAAAAAACCTTCCAACTGGCGACGAAAGCATGAAGAATTTATAGCAACTATACGAGCAGCCAAAGGACTTAATCTTAAAGATGGTGGAAAACTTCCTCCACCCCCTCCGCCATCATATGACCCTGGTATGTGAAACAGTCAAATTTCTTAGAGACTTTTTTTTAACCTAATTTGTAAAAAATTGGATTGGAAAGGAATATTGTTGGAATACAGTATTCACAAGTTCTTGAAGATGACTTCTTATCTCTGTGCAGGTGCTGGTTTGTGGCCATGGGTTTAGCTGGCTTGCATCCTGCATAGCTGTCAAAGCCCTTGACTTTCTAAGGGTGTCAAAAGGTGGTTTAGACCAACTTCCATCTTGCTACCATCTTATAAAGCATAGGCGGGACAAGTTGTTTCAATACCTTGTTTGTGTCCACAGCAGTGGAGCAGCTCAGAAATAGCAGAGTATCTTTTTAATTAGCTGGCACCCACAACATATTTACATTGTGGGAAGGCATATCAACACTACTCTTCAAATGTAGTCTCTCCCATTTCTTGCTGAATTCACATTTAGTTTCATTTATGCAGTGTGCCTTAATGTGCGTATGATCCTTCCTCATGTGGTGGGGGGGTACTTGTGTTTTGGGTATGTGAGATGTGCGGAATTTGTATTATCAAGGGAGTGACAGTCCTTGGGTGCCATCAGAACTGAGACTGCGTAAAGTGTTGAAGCAGTCTGATGTGAGTGAGAAGGAAATACACTTTTTTTTGCGATAATAGGTTGGAGAGTATATTTCTTCCCCTTTTCCTGAAAGCTAAACTGTATGATCAGCTCAGTCAGCTATTTTCAGAAAGATTAAGGAAAATGGAAAAAGGCGTGTGTTTGCTTCTGCCTGTCTGTGGTCAAGTGAGAATGTAAAGTGTTCCCTACCTTGTTTCTCTACAGGAAATGTGTTAGTCTAGTATGAGGATTGTAACTGCATTCACTATAAAAGGTTGTGTTGTTCAGCACTCTGTATGCAGGATCTTGAAAAGCTATATACATCTTAGGGTAAAGCCAATAGCTAGTGCTGTGGATAAGAATCATGAGGCTTGATCATGGAAAGAATCATTAATAATCTAGTTATATAGATTCTGAATTACAGGCGGAAAAGCCCAGAACTAAAACTAGATTGGAAAAAACTACTGAAATGGTGCTCCCCTGGTTCCAGAGACTGCAAATAAGTTTGAAATGAAGGACATAACTCTGTTCAGCCTGCTTGAGAACTGATAGGAGGTAAAGGGAAGATAATGTGTCTCTGTTTCTTTTCCTCCCATTTTTTACGTTTTCCAGGTTTTACTGGGTTTAATCTCCTAGCTTCATCCTGCTGCAGTGGGTAAGACTTAGAAGGAGAAAACCTGGAATGAAAAGATGCACAAAATGATAGTGGATTCTCTTCTTACAAACAAAGCAGGAGCAGCTACTGTTTCTGTTTTTCCTCTTCTCGTGGAGGAGGGAGGGAATGTTTTGCGTGATATTGTGGAGTGTATCCATCCTCTCCTATTCAGCTCTGTCTTTTGCATGCCTGTTTCTAACAAGCAGCTGTTCTTTTTCCTTTTAATGGAAAGAGCCTTTTATTCCTATTTCCTACTTAATTTAGTGCTCTGAGTTCACAAACAAGCAGTATTTCCTGCTGCTTTGATCTCTTATGCTTTTTCCGCTGAAGTGCACAATAGCCTCGTGATGTTAAGAAGGACCTTAAGTTGTCTTGAACTTGACTGCATATTTGCACTGCCCTCTTACTTTGATTAGTTTTCATTTTATAAAGCTTACACTGAATCCTAAAAGTTCTTCTGGACAGTGTGAACAGTACTTGCAGGTGGCCAGGTGTCTTAACTGCTTTTCAGAAGGATGAAGATACAGTTTCTAATTCTTGAGTGTACATTCATCCCCTACAGTCTGATACATTTTGGGTTTGCGGGCTTTGACAGTTTTCTGTAGGAACTGAGCTGTGCACCAGCCAGAAATGTCTTACTATCTAGGGGCTTTCATATCTGCTTTATTCATCTATTTTGTTTTTTAACTTTATCTTTTTTTTGTTGGTTTTTTACTTTCTTTGGAACAATCCTAGTTATACTACATTGTTTTTACGCCATGAAACTCTTATTATGTCACTTCTCTGTGTTCTTCCTGTGTCCACAGTTTGGTGGTCATTACATCACTTGACTTATTGTTTATTAATTTTTAAAGGGATAGTAATTTAAGCCAGATCTGCTGCATTTGGGGTAGTAACATATAATCCAAATATTATTTTAGATTTGTATAGTATCTAATTAATTTTGACTGTTGAATCTCTCCTAACTTTCTATGATACATTTCTAAAATGACCTAGAAACATACTAATTTAACCTGCTCTGCAGGTGTCAGGCTTTTCTGAAGTTGATGTTTACATGGTTTTGAATACTGTAATCTGGAGAATACAGCATCACTATCTCTAGACTATCTCTAGACACTAAAATATCTGTCTGAAACTAACAAACTGTCTGAAACTAACAAACGTTATTTTTCAAGGGCACTGTATTTTAAGTTGTATATTTCCAGCATACAGTTGATATATCTTTTAATATTTTAAATATTAACGTAGCCTTTCTTGTTTCTCTCTAATGAGAGTAATACTATTTTCTGCATATGACACTGTTTGAAATTAATCTTGAAAAATAATACAGCCACCAGTTATTCTCCTTTGCTTGTCTCTAGAGATATCTTCTAATTTTGGCTGGATTTCTTCTGATTCTTTTTGTTTGTTAAGTTTATAATTTTTTTTTTAATGGTCATTTCCAGTGTTGCAGTTAGTATTTCTCAGTCTTTCAAAATTGCCAGAGGAAACAGATTTTGTTGTCTTTTGCTATTTGGGTGTGAAAGGCTCTAAGGTATTTTCATGTCTTGAACAAACTGAACTGTATTTGTGATATTATTATTATTATTATTATTATTATTATTATTATTATTATTATTATTATTATTATTATTATTATTTTTGTTTATTAGTTTAGCCTCTTCTCCACTTCCTTCCAGCTGATATCCCTGCTGTGTCCCTATACCTTTTTGGCTATCTTCTCTGTTAGAATAACACCTCTTATAGTGTTTCTGATTTTTTTAGGTTATTGCTGATCCTCAACCATTCTGATTCTTATCCATCAAATGAGAAACATCTTTTGTGTTACATGAGGACAATATTCTTTTCCCCAGCAATCCATATTACATTTTCAGATTCAATAAGCCATAATTTACTCTGGGGGAGAGGCTGGTTTTTAAAAGACTTCAAAACACTGTCCCTTTTAAAACACATTATTAACGTTAGTTTTTTGTGTTTTTAAGATTACATTCAGTGTCCATATTGTCAGAGGAGATTTAATGAAAATGCAGCTGACAGGCACATCAATTTCTGTAAGGAGCAAGCTGCACGTATTACTAATAAGGGGAAATTGGCAGCTGATACCAAAGGGAAGCTTCCTACTCGAACACAGGTGAGCTACAACATTTTTCTTAACTTGTAGCTTGCATTCAACATCAGACCAAGCTTTTTAAATAGTGTGTTGCTTTTAAATGGAGTTAACTATTTTGTTACGTAATTTTATTATTTGCACTAAACTGAAATGAGACACTAACCATGGACAGGGCTTTTGCTTTCTTACAAGAGCTGCAGAGATCCATAAATCAGATGGCAGTGGTTGCAAAGCCAAAACCACTCATAAATGTAACTCAGAAATGTGAAAATGACAGGCAAAGGTAGCAGCAGGAAATAGAAATGCAGGTTTTGTAAAGGAAGTTGAATTTCTGTTGTGCTAGTTTTCTGAATCCAATTCAAGGCTGTTCCTTAAGGAGTCAAACAGAGGCACATGGCTACAGGACAACTGACAGCAATATTTTGCATAATTAGAGGCTTTAGAGGGCTTCAGGTATATTAAGGAAACAAGTGAAGGTTTAAAGTGTATATATGTTTTCATTTGGTGGTAATGCTATTTTTTTCCTGAAAGCTGTGAAGAGTTAAACAGACACAAGCAGTTACTTAGTGATTCTTGTATTGTATTCTGAATTGGTGCGGGGACTGGTCCAGACTGCACAGGTGAATATAAGATTTGGATTTTAAAGACAAAAATGATTCTGCCCTTGAGTATTCTTTTTGTAATTAACTGATAATGAGATGATAATTTTAATCTCGTGAGACAAGTGTGGAAAAAAATGATAAAAGCTGTAGAAAATCGAAAAATGGAGAAAGATGTACTGTTGAACAACAAAAAACCACTGAGTTAGAGAATGTCTTCTACTAGTATCATCTGTATGTATAAAAAGCAGACTAGCAGAAACCATTTGCATGTTCCCATACCAGAAGCAGTTTACCTAGTAGGAAATCACCTGTTCTCCCACAGTGCCTGAAAGAACTACCTGCTGTGTTTTACAGATAGTTTAAGTGCTTACATTTCTAGGTTGTGTTTTGTTACAGTACAAACCTGCTTCTGTTAAGAAGATGCCTTCTGTAGGATCAACACCATCACCATCATCACGCTTACCACAGCTGAGTGGCATTAGCAAAACTGCTGTAGGTATGAAATGAATGTTATGAATTTTTCCATTTCCTTTTTAAATGTTAGTTCTCAAATTATTCAGTGAAAGTTGGTTGTTTGTTTGCTATAGTGTTTTTTAAAAGCTCATTTATAATAAAGTTGGAAGGGGCACTGATGGCCATCAATCTAAAAAGACTCTCGAGCGTAGAGGTTCTCTTCTGGTTTATATATCAGGTCAAATTATTTTATTTTCCTGAATTGAATTTGCAAAATCAGATATATTCTGTTTGTACATACTTTGATGTTTCTTTCCTTTTTCTTTATGAAGAAAGTAATTCAGATCCAGCGTTTCTTATTAGAATAAAACATATCTCAATAGCATATTTTCTGTAAATTTCTGGGAAAATATTTGGTTTTCCTTGTATCTTGACACTTTCTCATATCTTTATGTTTCTAAAACTTTTGTTTTGAATTTTACAATTAAAAACGTAATAAATTATTTCGGCAGCAAAATCTTTTATTTTCTTATATTTTTATGCGTACTTGAACTGTAAGGTGCCTCTTCAAGTAAAGCACTGCCTTCATCTGGATCCAGTGGAAGCAAACTTCAGACATTATCACCAGCTCATAAAAACTCACTGGGAATGGTGAACCCACAGGCAGGGTAAGTTTCCATGTAATGTTGTCATTTGTGCTTTATTTCATGTTCATGTTGTGCTAATTCTAGAAGTCTCTGTGGTCTGTTTCACTTGCTTTTTATTTTTTTTTGCCAGTGAGCTTCAGAAGTGTTTTGAATTTATCCTTTATTTATAAATGCAGTTAATGTTTAAGGAACATTGGAGAAGGCAAAGATGCATTTTCTCAAAGTAACAACAAAGGAGATCAAGTGATAAAAATAGATATAAAGTAGATTAAAAATTTTAGTATGCAGAAGTGGTTGGAGCTATAAAGTTTTTTCCTGGTAAATGTGAAGTGACTTTAAAAAAGAGAAAACATTGGGCATAATTTCCTGCAATTCATGGAAGTAAAAGAAAGAGGCTTCTGCCACAGACTACCAGTTGTGAGACTACATTCTCTCTTAGCACAAAGGGAGCGATGCTTTCCTTCTTGCCTTTCCCGTCTTGAGGCAGTGAATGAGGAGAAATAAAGCAATGGAAACCAGTGCACTTAAAACAGCAAGAAGTGATAGATGTAGGCTACAAGAGTTCAGTGTAAGTGCTGGTGAGATCAAGACTGCTACTGATATTTTGCTGGAGAGGAGGACAATTCACGCTATCTCCAAGAGAAATCTATGGAAGGGATAGAAGAAAAGTGGTGCAGTTCTACAGAAGTTTAAGGAACACCAAGGAGCACTGAGAGAATACAGAACATACAACAAAGTGTTTGCAGTTAAAACACTGGTGGTTGAAAAATACTTGTTCCTATAACAATGGGTATCAGGTTGGTGAAGGTTATAAGGTGGAGAAAAACAATGGCTTAAGTTTGTGAGGAAGAAAAAGGACATTCTGAAAGAACTCATGGGGATGGACAGCAGTTACACAAAACTCTAAGTGACTTTTAGTTTATTGCTTTTAGGTTTTACAAGTTAAGCACAAATACAAATGACAGCTCTCTCATACCTCCCTCCTAATGCCTTTGTAGCATGAGGATTCTGTTCTGATTATAACCAATTAGATACTTTAAGTCTGGTTATGTTCAGTAAGAACTTTCAGAATCACAGATTCACAAATAGTGTAGTTTATTGCAGTGACAGGTTATTAATTCTTGTTAGATTGCTGGTGATAAATGCACTAGATCTACAAAATGAAGTGAATAGTGCTACATACAAGTGCTCCCAGCTAAACTCTGACACAGTCAAAGGCACAAATCTTGTCAAAGGGGCATCACTGCTTTGGGGGGGAAGAGAGGGGCAAGCTTCTTGACTAGTCCACAAAGTAAAGTCATGTTCTCATCCACAAAAATGGAGGATCTCAAATATCAATTTCATACTTTTTTGAAAAATGGAGGTGTGACTGTAGCCCAGTACAGTTGGTTACCAGTTGCTGTGCTCCTAGATGGTGAGGGGGAGGGGGACAACTCTTTTCTTATTTTCATATTGGTGGATGTGGTTTTTAATATGTTAATGGGAGATAATAAGGGTCTTTGGATACCTTTGGTTGAACTGAATTGACTTTTGGTTGAAACGAAATTTGCAGCGCAAAGCCCTGACACTTCAGTATCCTCCTCCACCCAGCTGAGGGAGCAGTGAGGGCCATCTGACATATTATGAGTATGTTGAAACTGCACATCCCTGTCTACCCAAAGGACAAATTTATAACCAAGATTTGCTGTGCATGGAGAAGGGGGAGCGAGGCTAATGGAGGCGTGGGTGCTATTCTGTGTTTCACTGTGACAACATCAGGCTGTGAGGTCTCTGCTTCACCCCAGGCACAACTCAGTTGTTAAGCCTCACTTGAGCCTAGTGCAAGATAAGCAAGTGGCTTAGCTCATGTTTTTGCTCAACCAGCCTCATCAGTTCTCCAGCAGCTCACGGTATCTCTGTATCTTGCCATAACAAGTCTGGCAGCTTTCCACCATTGCTCACTGGGCTTTGTTTTCTGTAGTCTTCCATTTTCTGTTGCTTGGAGGAAGAACTGTGATGTGACTAAGGCAAATAGCAGCTGGGGAGGTGTTTGCCCAAGTTCTCTCTGTTTATGTGTTCTGCTAAGCACAAGTAGAAGGCTTCTCATTGGCACAGCTGTCGGATAATGATCTCTGCTGGGAGGCTGTAAATGTTATCTTGGCTTATAACCTCAATTGCTTACACAATTTCCAGTTTTTAAGAGTGCAGATGTGATGAATGGTTTCTGCCTGCAGTACTTACCACTTCTCCGTTCTAAAAAACTTGTTCTCTTCTTCTGTTTGCAAACCAGTCCTTAAGATATTTGCTGCTCATGGTAACCAGTCTTCTCACAGGTGGCTGTTAAATGTGTCTCTTTCTTAAGGGTTATACCTGAGACCTAGCAATTCTTTGTTTTTTGAGCTCTATTGTGTTCACTTCTGGGAACAAATCTGTCAGGACTTACATTGAAACAAACAGGTGTAGGAGCAGTTAAAACATGAAAGAGTGAAATGCCTCAGGTTGATCATTGGTAACAATTTTGGTCTTAATCATCTCAGCTTTGGGGTTTGAGGGGAAAATACATTGGGTTTTGTTGAAATACCTACAAAATTTTATTAGGCCTCGGACTGAGACACAGTCAACAATCAGAGAGTGAGAATAGTTAACGCTGTAGTAACACAGATTTTAAACATTCAAACATCTTATAATTTGGGCTACAGCTAATTGCAGCTGGAATTATTTTCTAAAATAAAAAAGCTTTTAAAAGTAACCCTCATTAGGATGAAACAAGATATAATTCTTTTATTAAATTTATGATTTAACCAATAAAATGATTAACCATGAGATCTGGGATTCTGTGGTATGTAAGTCAGACAGAACTTATGCTGTAAGATAACATGTTCTTCCTTCTGAGTTGACAGTGAAACAATTCACTGAGCAATGTTACATATGGATTGTTTTAAGGGCAATCCTTTAAATGAAATAATGTTAAGCGGTCACTGTCTCTTTTTTCCTTGACAAACATTTTAATAGTTTTTTTGACCAGGTTAAATTCAAGGTCTTGTTGTGAAAAACAGGCTCCTGCAGTTTACACTAAGTTTACACTAAGTTTAAACTGTACATTTTGGGGGTTTTGAAATCTATTACTTAAATGTGAAACCTTCCATTTTTGCCTAGGTTGTTGTAATTCTGGATTTGGAAAAGAGGTAATAGTAGAGAGGCTGAATAGTGGAATTACAATTATATTGTGCAGTATCAAGGAGGAACTATATGTATGTTGGAGGGGGAAATTTATTTAGACACTGCTGCTTTCTGTAGAGTTGAGCTCCCTGTTCTCAGCGATGGATGGGCAAAGGGGCAGGATGATCCAACAGCCAGGGGGGATGTACGGGCTGCAGTTCCCCTCTCGCCCTTCAGGTGGCGCTCTTGGAGTGCTTCCCAAAACACCCGTGACGGGCGAAGGGAGCTGCTCGTGCCGTGGCTTCGAAGGTCGAGGCTTAAACGGGCTGGGCACGACGTGTTGAGTTCTGTAAAGGAAAGAGTCTTGAACTTCACCCCATATAAAGTCCAAACACAGTATCCTAGTGTAAATTTTCATTTTGTACAAGCAGAAATGCAATCAAATTTTATGAACTGCCTTATTGTAAGTTGTATTTACCATGTGGTTTCCTTTTTTTTAATTTGAATTCTCTTCTTCTCCAGTAAAGGACTACTGAGAGAGCATACCACAGCAACATCAGTATAAGCTAGGTTATTGTCAGTGAGGCTTACTGTGTATGTGTAGATCAGAATGTGTCAGCTGATTTCTACTGTGAATGTTTTCTCTTTCTGCCTGGACAGAGTAAAAACACAACTAGTTATTCCAATATGAATGAAAGTGCAGCATAAGGGCATCATCTCTGAGTCCTGGAGAATCAAGTAAGAGTACAAGAGTACCATGTGACTGTATTGTACTCAGTGTGAAAACCTTCAGTCATTTGGATGAAAATAGGTTTTATCTTTTTTGATACTGAAGGACTAAGAAAAAGAAAATTAATCCTACATATATTGTCATTAGGCTTGTCATTTGATAGTGAATCATGTTAGGAACCCAGGTTTGATATGTTTTTTTAATAGTATAAAGGTTAGCACTGTTTTATGTTTCTTGAGGGGTAGGGCAGTTCTAGTAAGCTGTCAGAAGTAATCAGACCTTCGGGAGAAAAAATTGAGTAGGTTCTTCCTAACCTAAAGGTTAAGCAAACATGCAAACCTCACACCCACATGCAAACTGTTTTGCCCAGCAGAGCTTGACCCCAATATTTGTGGCCGGCCAGGGATCTTTTGCTTGTACAGATTAATTGTGTGCATGTTTCATTTATGAGCAGTCTTGTTTGGTTTCTTTTTTTAACTGGAACTTGGAAAAATTATAATTTTTAATAGGGCAAATGAACATATAGAAATTAATTTGTAATTTATATTTTATTTGGCGGATAAAACGTATTATTTAAAGTTAAGTTAACTTATTTATATTTAAAGCATAAAGTTATGCTTCCTGGGAATCATGTCTGCTAGTGATAAATTCAATACTGTCTTACAGCTGAAATGCAACATGAATGGCACACAGCCAATATCAGTAAATTCTAAATTCCACTTAACGTATCTTGCATACTGCATTTGTAGCCTTTAAAAACATTATCTTTTAAAAATAGCTTGTTCCTTTCATTAAGACTGTAGCTTATAGAACTTCGTTCAATGAAATGAAGAAAAGTAAGGAGCTGTCTTGGGTTGTTTTTCAGAAGATTCTTACAATTGTGTTTTTTTTCATTAGAACATAAAAGGGCTGTCAGCTTTGGGTTTTTGGTTTTGTCTTAGTGTGAAAGAATACTGTAGGTCTTTGACAATATTACAACTGCTTCTACATTATTTCTTTCTTTTTCTACTCTGTAGGTGCCTGGAGTTCAGAGATTACGCTGTTAATTTGTTAAGGGTTCAAAAATAACTAAGAAAATCATGTTAGGTTGCAGTTTGAGTCTTGCAGTGTTAAAGACCTCAATACTGCTTCTCAGTTCCTTGGAAAGTATGTC